CATTGCGACTACAGTAAAAAAGCTTTTATTGTTCTAAAAACACAGTTTTATGAGCAGTATTTGGATTTGAAGATGTTAGAAACACACGTCATTGTTGTCATGTGGTGAATTTGGCCAATCGCGAAACAGCTGTGTCGTCATCAACACTCCTGCAGTCGCTCTGAAAAAGCTGTGCCAGCTGAGTCAGCCGGCTGCTCTCGAAACGCTCTCGCGGTACTTTGATGCCACACGTGACAGTGACGTAGCGTCGGCGCCGGTTCAAGTCGGACAAAATTTCTAACCGGCATGCGCTGCTTCAAGTCAGCCACCGATCGGTTTGCGCGGCGCCACATGAAGTTGAACGCACCTATAAACTGTAAAAAAAGATGGACGACGCATCTCCACTTCCTTCCACTATAGAAAGTGAAGCCAAAGCATCTCAGTATGGCCGCTGCCATCTTGAGTAAATGGCGTCATTTGGAGCCAGAGTCTGCGCAGTAGAGATTCGTTTGGAGCCAGAGTCTGCGCAGTAGAGATTCGTTTGGAGCCAGAGTCTGCGCAGTAGTGTCCTGAGGTGGAGCCACGGTATCAAACTCCCGCAGACCCAATCAACCATAACGACATGCCCCGTTTTTATAGCATAATAAATCTGATCACAAAAACAAACAATTGAACATACATCAGCGTGATAACAACTACCTTAAATGACCAAAACTATCTTTTGGAAAATTGTATTGGAAGTGTAATTTGTTTTTTTTATTTTGACTCAAGTCCCAATCGTTTACATGGAGAGGGCGGGGTTTATGACCTGTACTGCAGCCAGCCACCAGGGGGCGATCAAAGAGCCCGCAGCTTCACTTTTCACGACGTGTGAGGCACACCCGGCTCAACAGATATGCTCTGTTCAGCAGGCGGCAGAGAGGAGCAGCACTTTCAGTTAAAATAGATATGTTTTTTACCTGCAACTATAGCCGAAAACACGGCACAGGAATTATCTTTGTCTTTGCTTATGTTATGTGTATTTGATTTCATCAGACG